GGGGGGGCTGGCCACACCATGGAGACCACCGCCACGCAGAGCACCCAGCTAGCTGATGGCTCGGCACACAGCACCATCACCAAGACCGAGCGTCTCGTCCAGTCTAGTACGGGCTGGGCTGGGGGGGTGCAGTGCTTGCTTGCCCAGCACGGCCAGCGTGCCGACCCTTTGGGAGGCCATGCAGAGTCTTTCCCAGTGCTCTGCCGCTACAGCTTCTCTCTGCCTCTCTCGCTGCTTGTCTGACTTGACCACAGTGGAAGCAGGACTGTGGTTCACAGCGGAGTTTTGCTGCGTCTGCTCTGGGTCACCCAGAGCCTGCCTGGGCATCTTTAAGTGATCTGCTCTGGTGGCTTGCAACCCAATCCTCTACCCTGTCAGGGTGGCAGGGGTGTTTACACCTCAGGCCTGTCTTCTGTTCCCTGCACCTCTGCTCTCCCCATCACTGGGTGGCTCAGATGAATGTCACTGCAGGGGGCTGAGGGCTGCTCCGGCTCCCTGCTCCTTCGCACTGGCCTCTTGACTCTGCCTGGGGAGCACATGCTGTCTGTCCCTCCTCTGCCTGCCCCGGCCATGACTCTGCCACCTGGGACTGCTTGTTGCGCCACATGATGCGAGGGTGCTCGGCAGCAGTGGGTGTCTGTGGGTGCTGCTGCCCCCAGCCCCAGCTGATCCCCTGTTGCCTTGCCCCCTGCAGGCGATGGCACCAAGACCTCCCGTACCACAACCATGGAGTCGAGCTACGTGAAGAGATCGGACAGTAAGAGCTTTTGCTGCCCTTTTCCCCACGGCATCCTCTGGGTGTAACACCAGGGGTGTTGCTGCTGCCAAGGCATCCCTGCCTGTGGCATGGGCAGAGCCCCTCACCTACCTGGCAGCGCTTCCCTTGGCTCCTGTCCAAGGCCTCTTTCTTTCTCTCTGCAGGTGGCAACAGCACGTTTGTTCAAACCAAGTCATCCTACAGCTCCTCTTCCAAGAAGACAGGCAGGTGTGTGGCAGTGCATGCCTGGGGCCAGCACCAAGCAGTCCCCGTCAGCTGTCTGCACAAACCCTCTCCGCCCAGCTTGCGATGTCCCCGTGCAGGGATGTTCATCCTGGTCCTTGGGGCACGCTTGTTGTCTCCAGCGGTCCCCATGGGTCCCTGCGTGGGCATGCAGATGTGTCTGCCAGCTGGGAACCTTAAGCCACCCCTCTTCTGTCCCAGAGACATGGAGGTCTCCAAAGCTTCAGGGCTGGCAACGGGCTGAGGCCACCATGTGCCCTTCCCTGGGCTGCCCACGGCCTCCTTAGCTTCATCTGTCTCTCTCCCAGCATCTTCGACCGTGAAGACGAGAGTGCCTCCAGGCAGAGCAGCCTGGCCGCGCTGGAGCGGCGCCAGGCTGAGAAGAAGAAGGAGTTGATGAAAGCTCAGAGCCTGCCCAAGACATCAGCCTCGCAGGCTCGCAAGGCCATGATGGAGAAGCTGCAGAAGGAGGGTGGGAGGTGAGGCTGGGCCAGGAGCAAGCAGGCTGGGGCGGCAAGCGCCATGTGGATAACACCCTGCATCTTCCACCGTAGCTCGCCAAACCCTGCGGCGGCACGCACCACTGTGCAGCGCTCCTCCAGCTTCGGCGTGCCCAATGCCAACAGCATCAAACAGATGTTGCTGGACTGGTGCAGGGCCAAGACCCGGGGCTACGAGGTGAGTGCCACCTCCCCTCTCCGTCCCCAGCATTGGTTGCTCTGCCCCTCGATAACTCTCCTGCCCTTGCAGCACGTGGACATCCAGAACTTCTCATCCAGCTGGAGTGACGGCATGGCCTTCTGTGCCTTGGTCCACAACTTCTTCCCTGAGGCATTTGACTACAGCCAGCTGACACCCCAGAACCGCCGCCACAACTTCGAGGTGGCCTTCTCCTCCGCAGAGTATGTAGCTCTCATGCTGTCACGTGGGCTTGGGGTGGCTCGGGGTGGCTCTCCCTGCTCACTGCCCGGGGCGAGGGGGAACGTGGGCAGGGGTGATGGCGCTGGAGGTGAGCACCTGTCAGCATTGCTCCCCCTGTGTTGTGCAACAAGGTTTGGACACCATGGGGGAAGGCAGTGGCTGCGTGGACAGATCCACAAGAGGCCAGAGCAGCCCAGTGTGGCGTGACAAGGGTGGCTGTGGGGCTCTGGGCTTCCTGGGTGTGGGACAGTGCCCCCAAAGGCAGGGCAGCAGCCCCTCAAGCCCACCCAGCTGCTGTCAGTACATCCCATCCTGGGGTGCCGGGTGCGGGACTGCAGCCCCTGGGGAGTGGGAAGCGAGGCTTGCCCATGCCAGGTGCCTCCTTTCACGGTTGTAGAGGCTCAAACACCGTCGCAGCTTATCCAGTCTCTTCCCTTCCCTTTTTGCTTCTGGTTTTCCTGGGTGCTGAGAGATGGGAGCGCGTCCAGCTGGAGGGCTGGCAGCCAGCCCCTCTCTCCTTCCTTCTGTCTCTCTCCCACCCACTCCTCCTCCCCTCCCGCACCCTGCCCAGGGGCAGGGCTGGGCAGGTGCAGGTCCTATCGCAGCCGGTGCCCGGGGCGGTGGCGTGAGCTGGGAGCTCCCACGAGCTCCCTGGGTGCTGTTCGGTGGAGTGAGAAGGGGGCTGCGTGCCTGGTTCTTGGTGTTCCTGCTAATGGACTTTTTGACTTAATTGGGGAACCGATGTGTGGACTTGAGAGAGCCATCGATCTCTCCAGCCTGGAAGCCAGGTGGCCTCTTGTCCTTCCTCCTCCTCCTCCAGCTCTTGTGAGCGTCTTTTCCCGAGCTTCCTGCACCAGGGCTGTGCCGGGCGGTTCCAAGCGGAGCCGGGCAAGAGGGCTGGGCTTGCCCGCCCTCCTCCCGGCGGGTCTATATAGGGGCTATATAGAGCGCCGCTCCGCTCTGGAACCCGCTTCCTGAGCACCCGGCGTGCCAGAACACCTCACTCCTCCTCTGCCTCCATCTGTCCTTCCCTCTGGACGTCACGCCTCTCCACGCCGCTCACTGGCTCTCCCCCTCCCTTGCTTGTGCCCCCTAAATCTCACTGAATGGCCTTGGCGCGGTGGTGCCCAGAGCCCTCCTGCCCCTGCATCGCGCACCCCCGGAGCATGCGAGAGCAGAGCAGCATCTGCCAGGGGAGGGGGGATGGGAACTGCATTGATCCGTGTCTCTTGTTTTCTCTCTTCTTCCCCTCCCCGACTGGGCTGCGGTCACTGGCTTGCCCCTCTCTCTCCCTGCCCCCAGGAAGCACGCGGACTGTCCGCAGTTGCTGGACGTGGAGGACATGGTCCGGATGCGCGAGCCAGATTGGAAGTGTGTGTACACATACATTCAGGAATTCTATCGCTGCCTGGTCCAGAAGGGGCTGGTAAAAACCAAAAAGTCGTAGCCCATTTTCACCCCCCTGGGAGCGATGGTGAGAACCTTCCCCTCCGAATACCTGCCCATGCCCCACCGCTGCTGCTTGGCCAAGGGGCCAGGGAGCAGCCACCATGGCTGGGG